TTCTGGCACGAGACACCCCAATTTGTATGTAATTATCCAAAAAAAAAAAAAAAACATGCTCCTTGTTTTTAATGAATATTAAAGTTTATTGCTTTTTGTTTTTGCTGAACTGCAGATATCAAGACAAGTGCCTGATGCTTTACTGTCAATAGAAAGGGAAGGCCATACTCATTCATTTTCGTGCTCTGAGGCTGGTTCTGTTTGGGTTGCTCGTCATGTAGCTAATTTCATCAAAAATCGTGCTTCAAATCGGCAATTATCGCAATAAGCTTAATGATCTTCATAATGATGGTGATGATGATGATGATCGCATCATTATCATCATCCATGGATTAATTTAAGCTTAATGATCATCATAATGATGACGACGGCGATCATGATGATGATCAGGTTTTACTTCATCATATTTTCATTGATTCCATTAATATTTGCATTAAGATTGGCAATAAGTGCTTCAATATTTTTGTATTGGAATTGGTGCATAAAATTATGTATAAAAAGGCTTATTTAACTTTTAAAATGTAAATAATGATGATATTATTTGATGTGATGTTAAAGATTTGAACGGTATGTATGTCAATATAAATATTTAGGTGTTGGATATGTAAATATGGTAGAATGGTGTGGTATATGAATGCCCTTTTGTTATATAATCATGCTTATGATGGTCCGGTAGGAGTCCAAGCAAGCATAGTGAGCCGTTATGAGATTCAGTCCAAGCAACCATTGAGATATAAGTTGCTGGACATGGGTGACAACATGATTAATGTTGTCCTTACAACAGATTCAACAATTTTGTTGCCTCACCAAAGACTATTCTGTGGCCTCAAACATTCATCAAATCCCCAACATATTTATTCCAAGGGACGAGTGACATCAGAGCGAGTTTTCAGGACAGGAGACCGAACATATGATGGATTTGACCCGACAAAGTGTGCAGATGATGGATGGTCTAATATGACACCAATATGAGAAAATACATTCGAGATAAATGACAAATTCGAGCAACCAAAGGTTTTTAAGAGATATGAGCGTAACAATAGCCCATATATATCTTTTAGAAAAATATTCGTACATCAAGGGAAACTTAATGTAAAATGTAGATTTTGTTGAATCGTTAACCTAAAAAATGAAGTTATGCATTCCTCGTTCTCCATTTTCTTTAGCTAAACTTATTCTTTTTTACCCAGCTAGATCTACCATTGAGGTGTGAATCGATAGATAAAACATAATTCAATATCCTTAGAAGATGTTATGAGAAAACATTCTGAGAGCTCATGACTGAGTAGCCGATTATAGAGTCACAAGAAAAACAATTTATGGAAAGGGTGGCTATCCTTTGCGTAAATAGAGTTCAAGCTGGTGAAGTTGACGTACATTAGTCATTTATATCAAAAACCTCCATCAAAACTCAGCTCAGCTCCTTAATGATACGGAGCTAGAGAAGCAACATCATATGGGAGGACAAGGGGTGATAACTAAAGTTGGCAAAAACACAACGAAATGAGAAAGTTGGTAACACAAACCCAGTGTTGTCAACTAAGGCACTACAACTAAAGCTGCAGCCTTCTCGGCAATATGTTTGTCATCAGTAAAGCTTTGAAGCTCGAAGAAGAAACCTAACCAGGCCAGGATGAGGGTGTCCTCACTATTTTTAATTGTGTCAAGTAAAGTCTGAATTTCTAATCCATGGGAGAAATGAAGTCAGCATTAAAACCACTGAATTTCTAATCGTGTCAAGTTTTCTCTCATTAAGTGTTTTTTGAATACATGCTAACAATGAATGATTTTCTTAACAAGTTTAGGTTCATTCATTATAGCCTTGATCTTTTACTCTTAAGTGTCACTACACCTCACAATCAAAAAAATCGACCAGTTAAATTGTAGTAATAAAGACCGTGTATGTATGTATGGTGTCACTACACCTCACAATCAAAAAAATCGACCAGCTAAATTGTAGTAATAAAGACCATGTATGTATGTATGTATATATATATATACAAATTCGCATACTAACACGCACACTAACACCTAAACATTCTCATTAAAAATATCATAATCATTATGTGATAAATGTAAATATAAAATTTGGGCATTAGATAGGTAAATACATAAGAATTGTATGTCGTGTATGTAAATTTACCAATTTTTTTTATATAATTATCATACTCTATTAGATTTAGTTATTAAAAACATCAAATCATGAGAGCTCCACCGTTGGACCAGCACTAACAGGCCACAACCATCGAGACCCACTGCCGCCCGGGCATTGTTGTCAAGCTGCCACCACCGCCAAATCACTCTCGCCGCTTCACAGCCACCGCCATCTGACCGCTGCTACCAAAGACATTGACAGTTGATTTTCTGGCACGAGGCTCCTATTGTCTACTTTCCTTTAGATCGCCGCCACTTTCCAATGTTTTCTTCTTCCCTAACGAAAGTCTTGCACCACATGTAACATTCTTCCAACCTTTCAAGGGTTGGTAAAATATTATAACCTACATCGACATAGTAAAATTATTTCATTTGGGCAAGATCCCGTGGTTTTCCACTTTTCAGTTTTCCAAATGTCTTACATGAAAATTTTCTTAACTATGTATGTTCTAGATATTTGTATAACACTAAGACTTTAATATATCATAATACTTAATATGATAGTAATATGTGGAAAATCTTAAAACTTGTCATGTAAACATATATTAAATAACTACCACTAGCAGTCACCTATATGGTCCTCCTACACAAGAAATTATTACGTGCGGCGATCACACATCCAAACGACAGTATGGATGGGCAGTAATGCGATCCCTGACGACATAGTCTCATCCAAACCGTCGTCCAAACATACAGTCAGCTGCACCTAATCATTTTTCCCTATACCCATCACACAAATTTTATATATCTATACATCTAAAACCTAGATGTATATTATATATATATATATATATATGAATTAATGTGAACATATTGGTGTCATGAGAGGCCGAAAAGCATGAGGTGCATGATTTTATTAATGGAAGCAGGTAGACCATAAAGTATGATAAATTAGGTCATGCATGAGCTTATTCATGGAGTCAAGCAATGAACATTTGATGACAATTTAACCGCAACACGATAAGAATTAATTGCTGACTTGAAAAAGATAATTAATATATTGGAAAATATAAAATTAAAAAAAAATTACATATATACCACTAAATTTCTATGTATTTACATATCTAATACCTAAGCTTGAATGTTTGCATAAAGTTGAAATAGTAATATATTTATGATGCACATGCGATGTTATATTTTACTTTTAAATGTGGCAACAATTCTTTTTTTACGTGATATTAAAAATTTGAATGTTATATGTGTAAATATGAAAAATTGGGTGTGAAATACGTAAATACATAAGAATTTTGTTATGTAAGAAAATATTTACATACATACCACTCAATTTTTACGTACGTTCATATTTAAGACCTAACTTCAAGTTGTATTTCACTTTTTAGATGTTTAAATATTGATATTTTTTGTGTTATGAAAGATTTGAGTCGTATAAATGTAAAAAGTAAATTTTGCATGTTAGATTTATAAATGCATAGGAATTAGATGGTATGTATGTAGGGCTGTCAAAAAAGCTCGTTGTTCGCGAAAAAACTCGTGTTCGGCTCTTTAAGTAGCTCGTGTTCCGCTCGTTCGTTAAGTAAACGAGTCGAACACGAACAAGTTTTTAAAGCTCTTTTTTAAAGCTTTTATTATAAACGAGCCGAACACGAACAACTCTTTGTTAGCTCTTGTTCGACCCGTTTTAGCTCAAAAAAAAAACATATATAATTATTTATATAATAATATATTACATATATTATTTATATAATAATATATTACATATAAATAAATTTATTTATATAATAATATATTATATATATTTATATCTAAGTTTAAGATTTAATATCTCGTGTGGTAACGTGGTTAGTGGCTTTTTTTTCATACATTTGGTCCAGCTTCGAATTCAACACTTTACATCTATTTTGGTCCAGCTTCGAATACAACACTTTACATCTATTTTTTCAATTTAATTTTAACGAGCACATTTCGAGCCGAACACAAACACGAATATTTAAATCGTGCCGAACACGAACACACTGTTCATGAGCCAATTTCGAACACGAGCTGTTTCGAACGAGTTGAACACGAGCCAAGCCTGAGCTCTTATTTGTATGTAAATCACTCTTATTTAAAATATTAACACATAAAAACCTCTTAACTCACCCTATTTTATTATTATTTATCATATATTAATTTTGTTTTTGCTATTAATCATCGTGAATGAGAAGTTGAGAAGTAATTTTCACCTGCCCACTAATAACTCATTTTCATTAATTATTTTTTTTAATTTTAATAATAATAAGTTGGGGAAATAGTCCTCCATGCGGACTTAGACTTCATATAATATTTTCAATCTTATATTTATATAATTATTTATTTAAAAAATATTAAGTTTTATAACGAGTCACTGTCAAAAGAGCATTTTGCATTCACACGTGCGAGTACCCGTGCAATCCAAGCATTTAATAGCTTACATATTCACAGTTAATTTGATAATAATAATAATATTATTATTATTGTTGTTTTCTAAATTACTAATGCACCCAAGTACCCGTGCAATCCAAGCATTTAATAGCTTACATCTTCACAATTAATTTGATATTATTATTATTACTAATGCACCCTTAGCATATAAATTACAAAAATGACTCGAGTAATAATATAATTATGTTTTTCTTATGTTTTTTTTTGTTTCATTATTTTTTGAATTTGATGTTTAACTTTTTTTAATGTTATTTTGAATGGTATTCTAGCGATTTTTTCGTGTCTCTAGGGTTTTCGAGTGCTCATCATTTTCTCTTCAGAAAAAAATGTTGGTTCCTTCTTACCATTCGATTTTGTCTTAGGGTTATTGCAGCTTTTAGGAGTTTTGCCCCATCACTGTTATGGATATTTCTTGTTTTCATTCTCTTTGTTCTTCCTGTTGTTGTTCTCTTCTTGGACCTTCTCCCACTCTTAACAGGACTGGCTTGATTTCGTCTCACTTTACTGGTTCCCATTCTTTTAATATTTTTTATGTGTCTAGTACATAGCGTAATTTTTTTTTCTTCAGTAATTTATAATGGCTCAAAGTAATGGAGTATGACTCTTAATGGATATCCATTTAGGGAAATATCTTTTTACAGTAATTGTTGGTGTCAAATTCTGATGTCATGTGTGTAAGGTGTCTTCTTGACTAGTTTGAGGCAATTCACTATTCATTAATAGGATCTCTTTGTTCAAGACACTCATCTGAGACTTATGGTACGTGTTTTGGGAACGAAATCAGAGTCTGTGACGATTCTCCCTTGCATGGGATAACACGTAGTTGGACGGACTCACCCATGACATTAGACATGTTTAATGTTCATTCTAGTATTTAGAGTTTCCTCTATATCCATTCAAAACCACACTGGGGTCAAGGGAAGCCATGGAGCCCTCCTAAGTGCACAACGGGAAAATTA